GAAGGCACTTCCTGAAGAACTAACACTCCCAAGAGGCACTGCAGCAACTTCCCTTTTTCTACATTAACAACAAGAAGCAAGCGAGAGCTGGCCCAGGCAGCCTCAGAGCTAGGCCCTTGTCTAATCCAGTTTTTTAAATTAAAAAAATATTCTTTTTTTTTAAACCCTTTAAACTGGAGGCCTTTGTGTCAAATAATGGCCGTCTTGTAACTAAAAATATTACAAAACAAGCTAAATCCTCTAATATAATTCCTGGAGAATTCCTATCACACAATGGGGAATTTGCACGGACAACCTTCAGCCGCTTAAACCCACCTCACATACAGCAGGCGGGATGAAGAATGCACATTTAAAATCCGAAACGAGATTCGAATCAGCTAGGACGTTACCTTGACCGTTTTTCCATCCTTCCGCCCGCGTCTCATCACCAGGAATTGGGCGTCTTCGTCCCGGGGCGACGCTCGCTCCTCTGCAAACGCCAGGAAGGTGGATTCGGAGGGCAGGTAGAGGAGGGCTGGGATGCGGTAGGTCAGCCCCCCTCGCTTCTTCTGGCGGAAAAGGACCACCTTCCCAAAGCTGGCCAGCGAGTCCACCATGTTTCCTGGAGGTATCGAAATATTCTGGGAGAGGGGAAGGGAACGGGAGGTTGGACACGGCTAGAACTGCACTTCTGTCCCGCTGGACGGCTTGGTCCCAAAGCTCACCGGGATGGACGGATTTCCTGCACGTATGAACAGAAGATCAGACCCGATGGCCCACCGCTCTCATCCGAGACGGTTCTTCTGAAAAAGAAGAATAGAAATATGCGTCATGAAGCAGCCACCGAGGGCTGTAGGTTCCTCACCTTCAAAGTAGGCTCAGATGGCCCTCAGTGACAGGGCCCAGAAAAAAACACTTAGGCGCACCCACCTTGCACATCACGGCCGACTCAGGAGCAGCTGCTGCCCAAGGCAGATGCTTCATTCTCTTTCATGGGAGGTCCGCCCTGGACCTCAGCCACCCGAGCCGTCTCTCAAGGAGAGGACAACCTTCCTACGGCCAGCGTGCAGCTCGCGCCCTGCTTTGGAAGCACCCCCTCAACTGCACCCAGAAGAGATGTCAATCATCACTTCCCCACACCACGCCTCCGTCAGCGCTCCCAAAACCAAAGAGTGGCCTCTGATAGAAGTCTTTTGCGCTGGCTTGACAGGCCAGGCCGGAGGGCCTTCCTCGTTCTGAACGATATTCTTTTCTGAAGAACGGGGACTTGAATGTGTAACCCTGCCTATACTCCCAGGGAGAAGGAGGAGGAGGAGGAGGAGGAAGAAAAAGAAAATCATAAAGTTAGACATGACAGAGGGGCAAAATTAGTGCACGGGTCATTATGCAAAAAACAGAAATTGCCAGCCTCCAAAAACGAGTGGGAACATGAGGTAGAGAAGGTGTCAGAAAAGGAGGAAGTCAAGATCTTGTGGGATTTCCGGTTGTAATCTATACTTGGTTTTTTTGTTTATATAATACAATGGCTTCCTCCAGTCACGAGAGACGAGGGTCACATGCTCTGTACGGAGGACTTGGAACAGCGTCTAGTGTGACTGAGGACGCCAATTCGAGAGTGACCGTCCCTTCCACACTGAAGACAAATCCAATCTGTCCCGTCCAGCTCCCTGATTTGGCTGCTTTCAGGACTGCCTCTTGGCCTCGGCCTGCTGGACAAGATTCTCTTCGAATTGGGCCGTGATGCAACGCCAGCCTCCAGGCTGAACGCTCAGAGGTCAAGGTTTCCCATCTGTGGAGGTCCATTCCTAAGGCCTTCGGGTCCCGCTTGCAGATGTCCTTGTATCGCAGCTGTGGTCTCCCTCTGGGGTGATTTCCCTGCACTCGTTCTCCATACAGGAGATCTTTTGGAATCCGGCCGTCAACCATCCTCACGACGTGCTCGAGCCAACGTAGACGTCGATGTTTCAGTAATGTATACATGCTAAAAAATTCCAGCTCGTTCCAGGACTACTCTATTTGTAACTTTGTCCTGCCAGGTGATTCCAAAAATGTGTCGGAGGCAACGCATGTCGAACACATGTCCAGCTTCCTCTCCTGCTGTGCATGAAGGGTCCAGGACTCACTTTTGTTTATATCCCCCCCCCAATTAGTGGCAGAGATATACCGTACATTTTTGAAATGATGGCAACGGTGATGATAATCATATTAATAACAATAGTCTCCTTATCATTCTACATGTTTGAGTTTGTGCCCCTTAGGAAAAAAAGCCAAGAAAACGAGAGAGAGAGAAAAGCCATGTAAAGCTATGCCTGTTGTGGCAAAAGCAAATTCTCTAGAATTTCATTTCCTCCCTCTCTCTCCCTGATGAGGCCAGAGCCCCAAACTGGCTATCCTGGCTGGGGATGATGGTGCGGGTGGACCCTGGAGCAAGATAGATAGATAGATAGATAGATAGATAGATAGATAGATAGATAGATAGATAGATAGATAGATAGATAGATAGATAGATAGATAGATAGATAGATAGATAGATAGATAGATAG